AAAAGCAATGCATCATTCTCCATCCAACAAATGCCTGCCATCACCAATAATATGTTGGCATGTCCATTTTCGGCTTGTAGTACAAAATAAATGAAAGCCAAGGACATTACAATTGGGAGGGAAGGAGAACGGTTATTTAAAAGGCTTTTAAATGATGTCACTATATATTCTTTTAACAACATCCTCTAAAAGCCTTTGAAAAAATAGTCCCTTCCTCCCTCAGTTGTTAACAAAGACCATTCTAGGGACTGCTCTTTAAGAGGCTGTTAAATGGTGATACTATATTTTTTAACATCAGCATCATTTAGAAACCTTTTAGAGAGCAGTCCTCTTCCCCCACAACTAACAGAAAAAGGGCATGGGGGAAGGGATTACTTTTTTAAAGGCCTTTGGATAGTTCTATCAATAAATACAGCAACATTGTCTTAAAAGCCTTTCTCCAATGGTGGTTCCGCTTTCAGATATGTACTTTTAGCCTCATGACCCCATGTTATCTGACGTTAGTGTTTTAATGTTAACTGAAAACTCAATTTACTAATAATCCCAATAATGCCTTTTATTGAAGAGCTTAAAAATCAGTTTCACATATACAATCTCATTTACCCTCACAACAACTCAGTGAAACAGACAGGATGTGTACAATTAGCCCCATTTTACAGAAGAGAAAAACAGAAGCTAAGTGAGGTTGTGACTTAGCCAAGGGCTCCCTGCTGACGTGTGGCTGAGTTGAAACTGTAACCAGTTTGAGTCTAAACTGTAACCGTCTAGTCTAATACTCCATCCATCCAGCTGCCTCCTGTTACCTGCGTTACTTTTTTTTAGTGATATTCTTCATTGCTCTTTTCAACATGTCCAGATACTAAGAGGTAATTCCTTATAATCAGTATAAAAGTAGGACTCTATAATTTCAGTACCAAAAATAGATATGTAGATGGTAGAGGTTTTATTAATACTGTAATCCTGAGCAAGTTAAAAAGAATAAAATATTTCAGAGCATAGTAGTCTTCCTATGATGTTGCAGCATTCAGATTTTCTTAAGATTCCTTTGCTTTATGATGTGGGCTTATGAAATTATCACTTGAAATCTGTCAGATATCTAGTTTATTAAATAACTGATACTTTAAAGACATTTTTAATCTCATTATTTTGATTTGCTTTTGAAAGTTATTCTGTTGACTAAGGATACTGATAGTTAAGATCAAATTCAAAAAAGTTTCCTCAGTTATCATTAATCTTTGGAAAGAAATAATAAGTGCTGGTTCTTCCCACTTCCTGTAGTTCTTTGAAGGAGAGAAGAAAATCTCCCCACCAGCTTGCATGACTGACCTTTAGTTTCCTTTATCATAAGGAATAGTTTGTGCTTGTTGAAACAGGAATTATAGCTTATTGCTTGATAGAAATAACACTTCAAATTGTTACATTTTAATCCTAGTTCTGCCACTGTTTTTTCCCTCTTGCTAATAAACATTGTCTTTAATAACAATTAAAGAAGAATACTTTCATCTACAAAAGACTTCCATGTGCAGTATCTCACGAATCCTTATAAAACGATCCCATCATTTAGGTAGTCTTACCTTACCCTTTATTGTACAAATTCAAGCTCAGAGAAGTTAAATGATTTTCCTCTCATCAAATACCTTGAAGGTCTTCTACCTTAAAATCCAGGATTTTCTTTCTTACCACTGCCAACCCTGACTCTGCCTGAGAAGAAGTAAGCCATAGCCTTTCTTGCTTCTGAGGAAAAATGCTTCATATTTGGGCATAGCCAGAGAACACATGGGCCGATGCCAGAGCGCAAGCGCCCAGGCCCCAATCCAGGACTTTCCAGAAAGATTGATGGTCAGGCAACTTTAATGAAAAGAAAGCTGGGTCATAAGAAGGCTTTGCTACCACAAACATGGACTCCAAAGACTCTAGGGTTCCTATGTAGTAAATCAAGTTCTTCCTCCCTACCTCCTCACTGAAGAATTTAAAATATTTATGTTCAGTTCAGAAAATACATATACTATATAAAAATTAATATATGTGTGTGTGTGTGTGTGTGTGTGTGTGTGCGCGCGCGCTTATGGTCTCAGGACCCATTTCCTCATCCTCACCCTGGATCAGGAATTCCTCAGCAACTTATGGTAGGTCTGACTGGCATCTATAATGTAAAAGGATCCTTTTCCCCTCTATCAGATTCAAAGAAAGCATCCTTAGAGGGACCTGTTATTTAAAATTAAAGTAGCTGTAATAAAACTGCCTCTTCAATTTGTGCATCAACTAAGACACACCACTTCTCCTTCCTCTGGGACTTCATCTCAATGAGGTCCCTATCCCTCTGTGCCCTAAGTTACAGTTTGTTTAAGTGCAAGCCGCACGGCCAGTTTTTAGTTGCAGTGGTCCCACCTGTGAAATACAGAGAACGGCCACTGATTTCCCTGATGTACTTTTGTAAAGTGTTATTCCATAGCCTAGCTTTTCTCTGAGGACCTCCATTTGGATCTTGCTGTCCTGTAGTAAATATTTGCAGCATGACCTCACTTAGAATGCTCTGTAATTCTGTCTTTGATGAAATCATTGTTACCAGCAAGATTGTTTCTGGGAAGCTCCCACCTGTTGCTTCTAGCCCATTCTGTTTTCATCCTCATCTTCCTTCCGCTTATGAGGCCTATTCCATCTTACTATACTCTCTTCCCTTCCTTGTCATTCTCGTCTTAGGATCTCTTAATCACTTACCCGCATTCAGTAAAGATCTTGGCATCTTACACGTAATCTCTGCAGTCCACATCATCATGGGAGGTCACTGTAAGTATTAACAGCCTGTGCAATACGTAACCTCACAGCCTCTTGATCTCTTCAGTTCAGTAACTTTCACCTGCACTGAATTTCTGCCACACACTCTTTTATTTCAGCTCTGAAATCTTATCCTACCTATGGCAGTCCTGTTCCTGGGGCCCTTCACTCCTCCAAGTTTTCTTTTATGTTTAGCCTTGATTTACAACAATCCTGAAAGATAGTTGGTAGTTTCCCCATTTCCCAAATGTGAAAATTGAGGTCCCTAGCATGAGTAACTTCTTTCCTGCCACAGGGTTAGTAAGTTACAGAGCAGGAATTTCAGCTGAACTTTCCATCACACCTCACTGAGCATAAAAGAGAGGAGAGGTAAACACTTTTAAGAGAGTTACTTTTACAGGAGCCTGTGGTAAAGACTGGAATGTAAGGAATCTAAAGACAAGGAGACCAGTTTGAATGGGCAAGCAGAAGTAAAAGGAGAGCAAAAGATTGGGAAGGACACCAGGTTGTTAATTATGGTTAAACCTGAGGGGGAGTTTACTAATATTTCCATACTACTTGAAATTATTTTCAGTAAACATGCACTACTTTTGCAATTTTAAATAAAAGGTTTTTTAAATATTTTAAGTGTCACTGATGATCTGAACTAAACTGGTGGTAGACAGACAGAAAAGACAGAAATGAATACAAGAGACATCAAACTTGTCAGCTATTTGTTGGAGGGAAATAGGAGGATGTCAGAGATAACGCCAAGGCTCTGAGCTTGGTTACAGTGGAAGAGGATGCTAACTCTTGCTTTTTTATATTATGTCATTGATATTGTCAGTGAAAAAGCAGTAGAGGGGCCGGCCCGGTGGTGCAGCGGTTAAGTACGCACGTTCTGCTTCTCGGCGGCCCGGGGTTCGCCGTTTCGGATCCCAGGTGCGGACATGGCACTGCTTGGCAAAAGCCATGCTGTGGTAGGCGTCCCACATATAAAGTAGAGAAAGGTGGGCATGGATGTTGGCTCAGGGCCATTCTTCCTCAGCAAAAAGAGGAGGATCGGCAGTAGTTAGCTGGGGGCTAATCTTCCTCAAAAAAAAAAAAAAAGAAAAAGCAATAGAACTGCTAAGATCAATTGTTTGTCGCATCTATCATATAACACAACATGATTGTTTTGTCTTATGCAAAATGTTCTGGTTCTAATGAAATTTGTTGTAACCAATTATTGAAACCCTTCTGCTAAACAGTTTGAAAACTAGAATCAATTTTGTTTTTATTAGCACCCTTAAGTCAAAAGTCAGAAAAGAAATGTAAAAAAGAATAGTAGAACATATCTAACAATAATATAACACATCTGTATTCATGGTTCTGGAACAGTTTTTCTAAGAAAGTGGTAAATAAAAGTATCTAGGCATCATTCTGGATTTCAGATTTATAAAAAACATGAAATGTATTGACAATGAAGCTTGTAGATTTCCGTTAGGGGAAGAGAAGGAATAGGGTATTATAATTTCCTTCTCATCTCGACACCAATCTAAACTGACTACATCCTCTACCAGGAGGTCAGGAAACTTTTTGTAAAGGGCCAGATAGTAAATATTTTCAGCTTTGCAGGCCACAGCCTCTTAATTCTGCCTTTGTAGTAACAAAGCAGCCAAAGACAATCTATAAATGAATGACTGTGGCTGTGTCCCAATAAAACTTTATTTAGGGACGTTGACCTTTGAATGTCACATAGTTTTCACGTCACACAAGTGTTATTTTTCTTTTGATTTTTTTCAACCATTTAAAATTTGAAACCCTCCTTAGCTCCCAAGCTATATAAAAAACAGGCGGCAGGCTGCATTGGGTCCACAACGCAGAGTTTGCTGGCATCTGCTTAACACCATGCATGAAGTAAGATACTTATGAAATGTTTATTGATAATGTATTCAGGTCTTTCTGCAGATTTATTTTTTATAACATATATTGATTATTACTGGAGTAAGAGTTAAAAAAAAGTCTCATGTTTTTCATAATATATACTGGATCACTAAAGTAAAAATGTGGAGAATTAACAGTTACCTTCTCGAATACCTGAATTTCCTTATATGGAGGAAATTGTCATTAGGATTATAAACCATTTTTTTAAGTAATATTTGCTGGAACATTGAAATATATTTCTTTGAGTCTGTGTTTATAGTTATAGCTAAGAGTTAAGCAGATTTGCCCTCTGCTCTTTTTAATCCTGTTCTGGGTCCCAGGCTCAGCACTGTGAATTAAAGATGGAAAAGACTTCTACAGTCTGCTGGGTAAATCAGACAGTACTGTAGCTTTCTACATCGCAGCTCATCGGTTGAAACATACGTTGGTTCAGAAAGTACTAATTTTAAAGATGAAACTGTATCTGTTTGCAACTATTTTCTGGTCATTTTTATAACTCCTCTCTCTAAATATACACTGCTGTAAAATGAGCCAAACCAAAGCAGACATGAAAAGAGGATTTTGTATACTGCAGATCTTCATATTTTTGAAGTCCAAAAGCAGAATAGATTAATAATATACCTAAAAATGATGAAGTGACTAAATGTGGATTAAAGCATAAAAGGCTGGAAAGCATTGTTTTTATAAAGCTTTACGTGGAGTGTCATCCTTGAAATGGTAATGCAGATGCTGAACAAGGTTTATTCTTGGGCACTTACTTGATACTCCATGTTTTATTTTTCAATTCTCATTTAAATTTTATAATTCAATCATTTTGAATAGCTATGTTCAAAAGAAGTTTTACAACTTTAATCTTAATAATCTCAAAAAAAGCAGACATGCTATGTCATAAAATAACTATTAGTGACTAGTTTGTATCCTATAAATCTAACTTGAGTTGATAATATGGTCCATTACCAGCTAACTGCACGGAGTATTTTTCATTTTACACTCTTCAGTTACTTTTTAGTGAAGTGTTAAAAAATATGAAGCTTTTCTCCTCTCTAAAATTGCACGCTGTCTGTCTGTTATTAGGGAGATAACAGCTCTTATAAATGTTTCAGTAAGCGCTAAGTAGACAGTTATGTGCACTCTCATTCCACGCTTATTTGCTTACTGTAATAAACTGATAAAATATGTGTGGTTTGTCTCTGTGTATCTACAGGCATCATGAGTCACATAGATTTCCTTTAGAAATAATGTTGTGTCTGCAGAATTGATTGGTTATTTTCATAAACCATCTAAAGGTACACAAACGACTTTTATTATTTAAACATATGCTGTGTAAAGATTTGTGGAGGATTATCTCATTGTTACCTGGTGCTTTTTGTTCTGTTAACTCTAGAAGGGGCTTTTTCTTTTAGAGTTATTACAGACACTGGACTAATTACCTCCTCAAGCATTATATTGAGGATAACCCATATCATTTGCTTATAATGCAGCTAGATTTTAATTCTTTGAACATTAGTAGTTAGATAACTAAATCAAAACTTTTAATGTTTTCAAATATTGTCTTTCATACTATCCTGTTTATACAAGTTTTAATATTTAATGGGAAATAATGCTTTTATCTAAAACTAGATATTTTGAGAATTAGTGTTTGTATCATAGAATTCCTTCTAGTTAATGAGTTGTTCTTTGTGTGTGTCTTTAAGATATATGGTATTTTTTCATTTTTTTTTTTACAATTATATGTAATGGAAAATTTCTAGTCAAATTATATCCTAAAACCAACAAATATTAATATTCATAATCTCTGCTTATCACCACAGTGTACTCCTATAAGACTAATAGTTTAAGGAACAGTGTTATAATTGAGCACACAGCATCAAATAAAGCACAGTTATGATCAACACTAGAAGTATATTATCTACAAATCTCTATAATCATTGAAAATAGTAAAACTATGCTTTGAGTTCTGAAAATGGGTCAAATTATGGTTTATATGTTGAACATAAAAGTGGGAAATAACTGGGGAGACAGGTAATAAAGATAATAAATAAGCAAAATTATATGTATTGTGTTAGAGAAGGTATTAAATGGCTGTGGAAAAAGAAGAAGGGGAATCAGAAGAAAGACATACAAGTGGGTTAAGCCTCATTAAGAAGGTCACATTTGAGCAAAGAAGCCATGTGAGTATCTGGAGAAAGCGCATTCCGGGAAGAAGGAACCAAGGCCAAGGGCCTATGGGGGAGCATTACTGGTGAATGCAAGGAAGAGCAAGGAAGTCAGGGTGGCTGAAGTGGAGTGAGCTGTGGGTTCAAGAGTCATAGGAACTGAGGTCAAAGAACATTACAGGGGCCAGGCCACATGGCCCCATGGGCATTTATAAGGATTTTTCACTTTTGCTCTCAAAGAAATCAGGAGCCGTTGGAGGCTTTGAACAAAGGAGTGACATGTAACTTTGTTTTTTGACTGATTCATCCTGGCTACTATGTTCAGTCTGCGCTCAGTAGGGTGCAGGAGTAGAAACAAGAACACCAATTAGAAGGCTGTCAGAATAATCCAGATGTGAGATAGGGGTGGCTCAGACCAGGATGGTAACAGTAGAGGTAATGGGCAGTGGTCAGATTTTACTTAGTTGATTCAAATAACTGTGAATGCCTTCCCTGAGTTCTCCCTCAGGTGCCAGCTCTGGCTTTTGTGTTCTCTTAGTCTCTTAGTCATCTCTGTCCTGGCATTTATCACCCTGGTTGATTTCCTTAGTTCTCCTCAGCTGAACGATAGATTCCTTGAGGACTGGCTTATTCTTTGTCTCTGTATCATGGTCCTTAGTACAGGAGTTGGCACATCCAACTTAATAAACGTTCATTAGTTGAAAGAGTGAATTAATAACAACGATTAGTAGTTACTTAGTGTTTGAAGTAGCAGTGCTCTTATTAGACAGGGAGCCCTGGACGACCTGATTCTTGGACAAGACCACCTTTCTCCCCTGGATGGCCATGGGAGACACAGAGTCAGAGGACAAAGACAGGCAAAGTAGTACTTTATTATTAGCCGGGGTTTTGCTCTCTAACCCCAGTATAGAACTCCAGTGAGTTAGGACGGCCACATCAAGGACTCTTCTTTCCTATAGAAGGTAGGACTAAGTAGTTTTGAACCAAAGCCAGGTGTTAGGTTGAACCGTATAAATTGCTGATTTGACTGTTTTGACCTACAGAATTGATAGATACGTATGGTTCAGCCTAATCAAAGGCCTTATCTGAGTCTCGGATCTCACCGTTCCATACCTACCCAGGCTTTAGGAAAAGGAGTGAGAGAGCACATTCTCCTATCATAAGCTTATTCCCCACTCCCCCAGTTAGTGTCCTGAAATCTGACTGATCTTGATTAGTAGTTGAGTGGAGAGTTAAACAACAGAGACCCAATTTGAACCAGCTTAAGGAGACAAAGAAGTTACAGGATGGAATGATAGGGTATTTCACAGAAAACCAAGCTTCAGGAAGGATGGGAATATATCAGCTTCAGGAACCATCCAGACCAAAGGTACCAGCAGGCCTCTGTGTCTCTCATCTGTGCTCTTCTTTGCAATTTCTTGCTGAACAATATGGCAGGAAATATGGCCACAGACATTAGAGTTTTAAATCTCAGAATTTTAGCCACTTGAGAGAGACTGGCTCACCTTCCCAGGACCCAAATCCAAAAATCCTAGGAAAGGGACTCATTAAGCCAGGTGTCCATTCTGAGCCACTTAGTGTGGACCAGGTCGTGAGGCAGCATACGAAATGTCAGCTGCCTCAGGAATTGAATGTGCCCAGGTTTCTAGAAGATGGTGGGGTGTGCTGAGCAGACAGTGCCAACATAACCACTGCAGGGTAGAACAATGGGGAGAAGGCTCCCTCGAAAGACCAGCACTTAGTCTTAAACCAAACAAAAGCAACCTTAAAACTCCGAATTTTTCTTGTCCTTCAGTGTCGTAAAACTTACTTGACACTTTGTTGTTGGCTGTCAAAACACATCATGATAACTTCAGAAACCCGTAGAAACAATTAACCAGGTCATAACATGGACTTTCATAAAGGAAAGTCAAAAGAAAAAAGTAGTTTCTACTATGTAAAGTGGTATTCTCATTCTCAAAGCCACTAGCCCATATGTGCCATTGTGCGTATTCCCAAAAGGCACTCTTGAATATAAGCTGGATTTGTAGTTCATATCTACCCCTCAGTCAGTTGCCATTGCACAGCTGTATATGATAGTCCTACTAAGTGTTAATGTAGCTATATGGAGTAAGTGGATCTGGGAAATGTTGAGTGACTAAAAAAAAACTGGATGTCAAGAACTGTGAAGGGTATGAGAAGTTACCCTACTTGCAGACTAACAAGTTAGCCTGAGACAATTTCATGGATGCCAGTAGAAGACCTGAGACTCGTGTGTGAAAGACAAAGGACGGTTTATTACTCAAAGCAATAGCAGTAGTCAGAGGAACGTCATTTGCACTTCTCCGAAGCCCAGCTCCCACAGGATGACACGATGAAGGCCAGGTGATGGCTGCGCATGGAGCAGGTTGCTTTATCCAGAGGAACCTGAGTATGGAGGGTCCCCATCTTTTAGAAGGGGCTGTTAGCAAACCTGTCCGGCTTTGCCCTAGAGGGGGCCATTTACCTGTTCCCAAAGGGTGTCTGCTATACAAGCATCCTTGAAAAGATTTTCAGGGCCAAAGTTATTAATGCCTTTGCTCAGAAAACATGCAGAAACGTGAGAGACCTGTGGAGAATTTTTCCCCAACAACAGGGGCAGGGGAGGAGAGGGGAGGGATTTAACATGTGTGCCCCTGCATCGGGGGTGAGCAGACTTCCTCTGTCAAGGGTCCGCATAGGGAATTTCTTAGACATTGCAACCACTCAGCTCTACCACTGAAGAGCGAAAAAGCAGTCAGACATTTTCAGTTAGCACCGTCCTGTAGTTAAACAAGTATGTATTATTACCGCAAAATGTGCCGTTTATGATGCTGTTTGTTGTGGAAGAGAACGCAGACCTCCGTGTACGATCACAGATAACCTCTGAGGATGGTAGGGGAGGGCCTTTTAGATGCTGAATTCATTAGACAGTGCTTCTGGAACTTGGTTGAGTGTGGAGAGAATTATACTATCTTTCTTCCTTTGCACATCCCTTAACATCTTTTCAGCTATTATAGCAAAAGTGCAGAATTCTGAGACAAGGTAGAACAAAACAAATATTTGGACCGTGTGTCCCAGGATTCGATTGAGAGGGAGAACAGCAAACCAAGACATATTGGTAGCTCTTGAATGAGCTGAGGTGAACGTTGTGAGCATCTTCCCTGGAATTTAGAGGGCTAGTTCCTGGCTGCTTGTGAACCACGCCCCTGCTTCTGTCCTGCTTTTCTCATACTGCTACACACTTGCCTCTCTCCAGCTTTCAACTTCACTTCGCTGTATTATATGTAGCCCAAAACTTTTATGCTTTTCCATAGACGTAAAACTGGCTACATGGACATGTATTTAATAATTCGGGGAAAACTGTCTGTGGAAGAAAAAAGAAAAGTAAGACTTGGTTACTGTCTCCAACATGCTTGTCACCTAATTAAGGGAATGAAGATAAAACACCAAAAATATAATTATCCAGTTAAGGGTTTGTGTTAAGGTTGATTGTCATAGCCTCAGTGACATGGGAATTTGTGGAAAAAAAGATTTTTGCTGAGGGTAAGTGTATAAATATGTGTATATTCTTGTACAAACACTCACGCACATGTGTTCTGTGTCAGTTTGCTTATTTTTATGATGGCCTCTATCTCTTTGAATGAATGTCCACTGCTAAAGATTGCTGTCTTCTGTGATGCTAATAACCCCCCCAGAATTTGTAAAGGAAATAGAACTTAGTGTGAGCACTGAGACAGAGAGTTTTGAAAATAATTTTCATACAAGGAAAAAAACCTAAGTTTAGAAGTGAAAGTGCTTTGAAACTTCAAATGCTGCACTTTTATTTTCGTCAGAAGGCCAGAGTAGAGTAGAATGCATAGGCCAGTTGCCCCATGACTTTAGATGGCTGAAATTTAAAATTTACCCGATTATTTATTGTATTTTACACATATACTCTTGCATGTATTTTTAAGATGATTGTTTTAAGTTGCCCACCCTTCTATGTTGAGCTTTTGGAGAAGGAATACTCTATCTTGATGCTCAGAAGACACTGTTTATTGTTTTGTATAGATGATAATTAACTCTGGGATTTTTGTTGATTGGTTTTACATTATTAATATTATTAATTTTTTAACGTCCTCAGGTGTCAGTGGCATGGTGAACGTGTTGACTAGGTTAATATGTACTCTCACAATTATAGTAGATAACCTAGTTTGGGAGAGCACGCTTGTTAGGAAAAAATCTTGATTAGGCCTGTTTAATTACAAATTGATTTTTTTTTAAAGCTTGCCTGTGTCAGGTCAAGCCACATGCAGTACTTTGAATGGAAACATGGCCACCACAGGACTTGAGAATGGACTGTGTTTCTTCATTTAATATGCTGTCTCTGCCTCTCATTCCACTTGAGAGTGAGGGGAGAATCTGAAGTTCAGTGGAAGGATAAACAGATGATTAGCCCAGAAAATTGTGGGTTTGTGGTCGGGGGATGGTATGAGGCAAGCTTTGTTTGCCAAATAATTGAATCCTCTTGTAGGGCTATAAGAAATAAAACAATGTGGTACTGGTTTAACAGCTCAGTCAAGGCCCAAAAAAGTCTCCAAATACATAAATTAGTTAGAATGTTTGCATTTACAGATCATTGAGGAAAGACTAGTCATTAAACCGTGTTCACACGACTAGTTAAATATTTGGAGAAAAATAATTAAATGTAAAGTCAATGTACCTAAATCAGTTCCACGTGAATTAAAAAATTGAAGCCACGAAAGCTCTAGAAGAAAATGTAAGCAAATAGTTATCTGATCTCAAAGGAGGGAAGGTCTTTTAATCTTGAAAGCAAAGGAAGAAGCTACCTTAAAGGAGGTCATAATCTTCAGTTTACGGTGAAAGAAATTCAAGGTGAAAGAGGGTCAAGGAGTCAACATTGGACATGAAGGTGCAAGATGATCCTTATTGGGGCCGGCCTGGTGGCGAAGCAGTTAAGTTCACACATTGTGCTGCTCAGTGGCCCGGGTTCGCCAGGTCGGATCCCGGGTGCGGACATGGCACTGCTTGGCAAAAGCCATGCTGTGGCAGGCATCCCACGTATAAAATAGAGGAAGATGGGCATGGATGTTAGCTCAGGGCCAGTCTTCCTCAGCAAAAAGAGGAAGATTGGCAGTAGTTAGCTCAGGGCTAATCTTCCTTAAAAAAAAAAAAGATCCTTATTGGCAGATGATATAATCTCTTACAGTTCAAAAGACCGAGAAAATCAACTTACACACTATTAAAACATAAGAAAATTAGCAAAATGTCCAAGTATGGTGTACCTAGAAAAAAATAACAAAAAAGTTTATAAACTCTAAAAATATTGAATATAATTATCTAACCGATTGTTCTCTTCTTATTAGACATATATTGTCAAAATATTTTAATATATGCCTGCAAAATACAGAACAATTTTAATAGTGTTTTGAAGCATCTACTTTACTTTTTTTATGGTTCTGACATAATATCTGTGTGTGTGATGTCCTACTAATCTTTGTTATTGTGGTTTATGTAATACTTTAGGGAAAACAGGAGTTAAATGTCATAAATTTTTGCATATTTTCTAAGAGAATTACTAACTAGATTCACTAATTTATCGTTTTTTTTCTTTTTCTGATGTGCAACAGGTCAGTACTCCTGTCTTTGTGCCAATGAAAACTCATGTGCTGCTTCATCGAATGAGTGGAAAAGGACTAGCTGCCCATTATTCCTTTCCAAGACAGCCTTGTATTTTTGGTGATAAGATGGTCTCTGTACAAATAACGTTGAATAATACTACTGATAAGAAGATAGAAAATATCCACATAAGGGAAAAGAAACTTCCTATAGGCATGCAAATGCATGTTTTTAATCCAATAGGTAAATATTAATTCTCATTTAAAACTTTAACTATATTTGATAATTAAATGTGTTCATTTTAAAGTAAAGTAGATAACATATTATTTTATTGAGAGTTATTAGCGTACTTAGTTTATATTTCTTTTCCCTTTTTAAACCATATTTATCATACAAGATAAATACATTCCTTTGCCCTTGGTGAACCAGGTGCCAGCAATGGTAACACTCGTAGTGATGAAAGGATGGGTCTGAAGAATCAGAACTGCTTCCTATTTTACGTGTCTGCATCACCCTCCCCACCTCTCTCCTGGGTTAACTTCATTCCCTGCCTGATACTAGTCTTCCTTTTTGAACACAGGACCTGCCATATCTCCCCTTCCGTTTCTTTCCACAGTGAAGGCTGGGGATGTACCCTATTCCGCTTGTCTTCCTTCCCGCGCATAGACTAGCCCCTGGTATTTTACTAGTGTTTATACACATTATGTTTTAAAGTATTTTTAGTCTGTTGGCATCGTTTAAAAATCAAGATGCTTTCACATTAAAAAATAAACCCAGAATTCTCACTTTTCTCGGAAGAAAGCACAAGCTATGGCAGTACTGGTCCTCCCTTCCCGGATGCAGCACACCAGCTGAGCAGGCTGCCCCTCCGACACAGCGTGTGCTCCAGGTCACCTCAGTGCCCGCCCCATCATATCATCGCACCAAACAAGTGTCATCCCCTTCCATTTTTTTAAGTATTTTACCAAAAATATACTTTTTAAAAATGAAATGTAACAATTGTATGTCTTACTTTGAGTTTAAAATAGTGTAATAATTAGAGTGTCTGTCTCTGTTCTTTCTGTTTTGTGTAAGTGGAGACAGTCCTAAAGTTCAGTTGGGAAAAACTTCAGACAAAATCGCAATGAAAAGTGATAGAAGCTTTCTGTCAGTGAATCCTTAAAACATTACAATCAGAAAGCTCCAGATAGTTTCTTTTTATACTACTTTAGGTGAGCAAAGCCTTTGGCCAAGTAACTGTGTCTTCTTTACTCACCATTTCACATAACTCTTCTATTTTTCTTCGTCTTCACCTCAGTTCTTTGACGTTGTTCAATTCTCCTCTGTAGTTTTCACGAGTCATTCGGTAAAGGAGGTCATTCTCTGTGTTATATTTTTACACAAAGGAAAAATACAATTCCTAGTAGATGAAATGTGCTAGACTTTTATAAGCTTTTAAAAATAATTTGGTAATTAAGACACCATTTAAAAAACACAGTGTCCTGATTTTTATTTAATTATTTTGTGAAGTTAATATATTGCTAAGGAATTATAGTATATCCCAATCTGTGTCCTTTTTATTACTTTAAATCCAGCATTTTTTACCTAGTTAAAAAATTAGTTTAGTTTAAGAAGTGTCAAGCAGCTGATATATGAATTGTCTGAAGGTTGAAAATGTTATCCAAAGGTTAAAACAGTAGAACAGTATTAGCGTTTCTTGGAGCTGCATAATGAGTTGATGAGTTGACCTTTTGTTGGCCTATGTAGAATAGAAGAAATAAATATAATAAATTTCATAGTATGGCCTTAACGCAGAAATAAAATGTGAATGTATACGGTTGCCTCAGTACTAGTAATAGACTATTCTTTGGCAAATTTTTATGACTGTAATGTTTCATTTATTTTGTTGGCATTTATTGAATACCCTCAAGATACAGAGTTCTTTCCCATGCAGTATATATTTGTGTGTAACACCAGCTGGTCTCTTTTATTAGTAGATTACGGTAGAGTTACAGAGTATGATACACTTTAATTGGTCCTCCAAAAACATCGTAAGAATGCAATAAAAAACAAAGCCTCTGTTTTCATGTCTTTGTGAAATAAGGGAAGTAAGATTTTCTTATTTAGTATGTACATATGCACATGTTAAGGAGTCTAGGAGCTTTCTTATTTATCATCAATCTGTTCTTTTTGTCTATAATATGCAGGGACTTTTGTCTGGATTTTGTCCTGCCTTTAGCATGAAACTGGATTCCTTGCAAGAGTATTAGGAATAATATGCCCTTTTTCCCTGAGACCAAGTACATGTGAGATTTTTTAAAAAGCAGACACACAAAGAATAGCCTAAGGCTCTATGCAGTATAAGTTAACAATTGACAAGTTTGAGTTCACTAAGATTTCACCAGTTACTGAACAACTATCATATCAAAGTAGATGGCATCTTGTGTGATTTTGCTTTTTGTTATTGATGGCGTAATAGAGCCTATGTTTTTTCAGCCATTTCCATATAACCCTCTCATGTACATAGGAGTGATCCAGAAGCAGTATGCAAGTACAGACACCTGATTGAGTACTCTTTCCCAGTGTAGTAGGCTTCAGATACTATAAAAGTCCATTAGTTGAATAACTTTATGCTGATCACTTTGCTCTTGAAGCATTCATACAATATAACATGCCGTTGATCATGAGCTGTCCTCCAAAATTAACATGGCACTAAGCTCACAGTTAATTATTTTAAGACTGAAGACGGTACCAAACTGTGTCAAAGAGTGCTATCAACAAGACATCTTGAGAACTGTCATTTTGTCAAATGAAATACAAGGATACATGATGTAGAGAGATCCAAATAATGAATGCCATCATGTTTTGAAGATGCCAGCATTTGCTACCAATATGGTGTCTACTGCAAACAAGACCAAACCCCAGTGTATCTCTGGCACAGAAGAATGCATTAAGGATTCACTAAAGAATAGCCTTGAGCAGTGTGGCTGACAGAGCTGTGAACTAATAAAGTATAGCTTTAGGAGAAATGCAAGCAAAGTATCACTATAGATATTTACTCTACAGTAAAGCCTGTTTGCCAGAGATTTAGGCCACATGGTACTTGTGTAGCATACTGGTAAATGTTAGGTTTACAAAACAAATGAAATTCAAACTGAAATCAGCAAACCAACATATATACCACTAATCAAACCAATAACATTTTAAAATCAGCACCAAACAAGTACCCTCTTATAACGCCTAATCTCCCCTGAGCCTATGAGAAGTAAACATACTCCTTAATATATTAAGCTTATTGAATTATTCTTCTCTATCATCATCTCTGTCATGGTTAGCAGTAAGTAGCAAATCATACTTACCAACAAGCCCTAGGATAGTCACAGTCTACTGGATTTGAGTGGGCTTGCTAAAATATAACTACCCCTAACAAGATATATCAGAAGAGATGAAGCTAAGTATAGAGCTGCTGCACAGTAGGACTGCAGTTATGCTGAAGACTGAGCAAAGTGGAAATCAAAAGGGGATGGTTTCTGTTTAAATATATACATAAGTGTTTATAGTAAATAGGTATATATTTAGTATCCCCCATTATTCTAATGTACAGCCAGACTTTGGAATCATAAACAGAATAAAATTTTATTTGTCTTAAGTTTCATCATAGTCAACTGAAAAACACCAGTATTGCGTGTTGATACACTTGTTTCCCATACTTGCTTAGGTGGTACATACAGCTTTAAAAATTCCGGATCTATAAAGTCACTTTATTATTTGCTTTTCAGGATCATCTAATTTGCTACTAAATTTTCGTTCAGTAATTCTTTGAATAATGCAATTAGACTTATCATTTTAGTCCCCATAATGCCAGTTGTCTTGATTAATCTCTGAGTACAACAAATTAATTTCTTCTTTCAGCTTTGCTTTAATTTGCATTTTTAAATTTTAGATTTTTTTTTTTCCAGTGGAAATTTGGAACATTGTTTAAAATTTACTTTTTATATCTTGAGTAAATATTCCATAGTTTTAAGTATAAGTACCCAGAGTCCATTATATTTGTTCCAAACAGAAGTACATTTATCTCCTCCTCACCTTCAGTGCCTGTAAAGACAATACTATAAAACATGAAATTCTCAGGATGAGATCTGTTTCTGAAACAAATAAATATGTGTTCATTGAAGTATGTGCAGAATTAAGAAAGCCTTCGAGTAGAATAGTCAAACTACTTTATAATTTGCTTTAATATTCTTAGTCTGAAATTATTCTTATAAGCTATCGTTTGTCTGTTTTAACCAAACTACAAACATTACGTAAGTTTTCAGTGTTTAGTTTGCCTGTTGTTCACATCCTCTGTGTTTTCATGTCTAAATTACCTTATTTCCTAGAATCTCTTGAGCCTGAGGGATCCATTACTGTTTCAATGGGTATTGACTTCTGTGACTCCACTCAGACTGCCAGTTTCCAGTTGTGGTAAGTTCAATTGTTCTTCTGTATTTTATATTACCTGTAAAGGGGAGCAGATCAAAAACTAGGCTTTCAACAGCTTTTTTTCTTTGGAAGTCAAGACATTTTAACAAACATGCCTTTCTTTGGTAATGTTTATACTGTTCTGGAATAGTTGTATAAACTGTGCACAACGTATGTATTTTTAGTATTTGTCACACAACTAGCCATTACAGTCTGCCATATGTGATTGAATGTCATAGTTTGTTGGCTAGAGTAAGGAGCTACTGGTAAATAATTTTTTTGTTATCTTAACTCTACAGTTTTGGAAAATTCATGAGGAAAATTCAGGAAAAATTAAACTTTAATAATACTATTGAATAGCCCAAAGAAGATAGCTTTTAAAACATCTTACATGTTGTCTTGAGCCTCTTGGGTGGAGAATGACTGATTTTGTCAATACCTAAAACACATACATCTTTCCGTTTTTAGTTTAATTTACAAACTGCTTTTGATAAAACTCTAAAGAGAACATTTATGCATTTGGCAAAGTTTTGTAGGTGAAGATTGTCCAAAAGAGCTTTTCTAGGATTGAATTTGGTCATTGTTATTGGTTTTGTATAATCTTTTATACTTTTCTAAATTTTGTCTAAATTTTGTCTAGCTTAGAGCAGAATTTGTGATAAAAATCTTCGTTTGGGAAATAGACATTTTTCAACAAGTTTGTAGGTTAAATATAGTGAACCTTTTTCATATACCTTTTCAGTTTACCAGTGATTCAAGGCTAATATTGTACCATTTATTGCCGAGAACGCACAGTGATAAACATGAGCAATGTAGCATAACACATTGATTCTATGCAGACCATCACCTTTATGTTTGGGGAGGTCTGCTATATTAGTGATATAGAAAAACTGATTACTTTTCCCCACATTGCCTAGTAATTGTTTATTATTTTTCTATTAGACAAACAACACAGATCAATATTACTGAACACAAGACCATGAGTAACATCACTCTAAATAGATTTGCCTCCAACACTAGAGGTATATTCATTTTAATGATTTCGACAATGTGAGCTCAATGACAAAGCTCATGCACCAAGTTAGGGCAAAATTAAGAACTAAAAAAATTTCTTTTTTGTATCAATTTATATAAAGAACGTTTTATGTTTCTATGTAATGAGATGGGGTTGGTTTTTTTAATTATATTTTCATTACAAAATATTTCCTCTGCAGCTCATTGGACAAGATTTACATGTTGTCTTTCACAGTTAACTAAGTACCTTTAGGGAAAAATATATAGGTAGTGTTTAATTTTTATCTTACATTGGGTAGTGTCTGTGAACAATTTTTTCCCAGTTTCTCTTAAACTAATTTTAAGCAAATGATGAATTTATTTTACGTAGAAAATAGCCTCAGCTATTTTATGCATTTACATTAATATTTTTTCTGTTGTGAATGTATAAATTAGTTATTTATTTTAGGTTTTCTTAAGTACATAAGCACACTAGATCAAAAATTATTTTTGTGTGTGTTCCAAAAAGAACACTTTGTCTTGCATCAAATGTAATTGATCCTGAAGCAGTGTAATCACAATTACTCACTTTCTTAATTGGCCTGCCCAAAATCAGAAAATGGAAACCGATCGACAGTGTTTAAATCGATAGCTTCATAGTAGTGCTGGTGGGGGTAGTGAGATAGTGGTAATGGCTAGATCAATTGGTCTTAGATGCCAATCACGGACTGTGCCTTTTGCATAGTAAATAGCACTTTTTGCTTAGTGATGTGCTGTGTTAGTCTTGGTAGTTCGATAAAAAGGAAAAAAAATGCAAGAATGGCTGATAGTGAATTTTTTCCTCAAAATACATTATACAAGTTGACACACAAAATTATGGGTGATAGCAGCATATTTGATAAGAAGCCTTCAGAAATGCTGAGAACCTGGACTATAAGCCTTTCAGGTACATTTCTATTTATTAAAAGAAAGTAAAATGATCCTACTTTAGCCTCCAGATTAGTTCTGTATCATTATAGTTATGGGATGCATATATATAGATAGAACTGTTATATATAGCTATATAGTTATATGGATACTTGATGAGTGTTAATGTCTCTTTTTTTGCTTTGCATTTTAAATGGTCGTCAGATTAAGTCCCTGATTAAATGTATTGAGATTGAAAATGTGTCTAATAGACATAAATATGTCTGTGCACAAGGAGATGCATAAACAGATCTCGTCCTTGTGATCAGCAGATAGTAATGTATTAACTAGTATGAAAGATAATCTGGCTTGGCTCAAGGTAGAGGGCTGAGCACTAGGATCCACCCCTCTTTTTGCCCAAAATCCATTAAAAAGACAGAAAATACATTCTTTAAAAGAGAACAAGGGGCCGGCCCAGTGGGGTAGAGATTAGGTTCGCACACTCCACTTTGGCTGCCTGGGGTTCGCTGGCTCGGATCCCAGGCACAGACCTGCACCACTCATCAAGCCGTGCTGTGGTGGCAACCCACATACAAAGTAGAGGAAGATTGGCATGTTAGCTCAGGGACAATCTTCCTCCAGCAAAAAGAGGAAGATTGGCAACAGATGTTAGGTACAATAAAAATAAAAAATAAAAGAGAGTGAGCGCTTAAAAAAAAAAAAAGAAAGAATGTCATTAGCTGACCAGAAATTGTGAAGATTATTGGCAGTTTGAAAGCAAATGGGAGTAGATAAATAATAAGAGGGAAAACAAAAACCACAGAGCAGGGGCCAGCCCCGTGGCCGAGTGATTAAGTTCACGAGCAAACAACTGAAAATATACAACTATGTACCATGGGGCTTTAGGGAGAGAAAGGAAAAATAAAATCTTAAAAAAAAAAAAAAAACCCAGAACAGAACACTCATGGGAGAAAATTACTACAATGGTAAGAGCAAATCTGGCAGAGTATCAAGCACAAAGTGAACAAATGAAAAGAAAAGTTAGAGTAAGACAGTCATCAGGGAATTAAAGAACTACCTCAGCCCCCAGTTCCCCAACCTACCCCGGCACCAGGCGGCATACACACTTGCTCAGAGACCTAGAGTTACACTGTAAAGGAAGTGAACTGCTTGTCTGGGAAGGCTTTTGGTGTGATGTGGGGGCCTGAGGAACAGCAGAGTCTGAGTCTGTGGGAAGGAGGCAGGAGTGGTCAGAGATGAGATGAGGTGCAGTTCTCGCCAGGACAGTAATGGTCTCAAGTCCTCTGCCACTAGGAAAAGCCAGTCACACGTCTTTTGGTGGAGAGAGAAGGGCATTGCCTCCCTGCCTCCCAACTTCATGTCCGCATAACCAGTCATGTCCCACCCACTTAATAGAACTCCAGTCAGCCCACCAGGGGAGAGGAGACCACAGTAATAATACTCACTAACGCGTATCAGGCAGGTGCCGTATCTGAGCACTGTTCTAAACCCCTGTGTTGCGTGTGTTAATTTAGTCTCTCAACACTCCTATGAGATAGGTATTACTATTATCCCTTTTTCAGAGCTGAGTAAATTGAGGCACAGGAAGATTAAGAAACTTACTAAACACTCATAGCTACTAGGTAACAGAACTTGCTGTGTGTGTTAATTAAACCTAGTCCTTCAATATAAATGTAAATGGACAGCTTAGGATGACCAGACTTTGGGGGGAAAGCATCAATTTGAAAGGGAAGGCTCACGATGACTACAAAGACTCACTGACCATGAAGGGAGGAGACAATCTGAGAAAGAGAGGAGATGTCTTTACAAATTATAGCTAGGGCTGGCCCGGTGGTGTAGTGGTTAAGTTCATGTGCTCCGCAGCAGCAGCCCGGGGTTTGTGGGGTCAGATCCTGGGCGCAAACCTATGCACCACTCATCAAGCCATGCTCTGGCAGCGTCCCACCTATACAATAGAGGAAGATTGGCACAGATGTTAGCTCAGCAATAATCTTCCTCACTAAAAAAACCCCAACTAATGTCTGATGCAAGAAACACCACATCTGTAAAGCAAAAACATATTGCTTGCTTTGAAAAAGGCGAAATTGGATATTTTAACTGTATTCTTGGAGATTTAATGCCAAAAGAAATTCAGTAAATGCATAATTGAATGGACACAGCTGAATACTGATTTAGTGTTCTGGAAGAGGGAGTCAGTGAAATCAGCTGGAATAGTGAGCAAGAAGACAGAGATGGAAAATAGGAAAGAAAGCTTAAAAGAATCGGTTCATCTAAGAAGAGAACTAGAAGGAAAGAAAAGAGACAACGGAGGGAAGAAATAATTAAAGAAATTAAGAAAAATTTTTGCAAGCAAAAGAAATGCTAAAGAAAAGCCTTCAGATTGAAAGGACTCATAAAGGCCAAACAAGATGAATGTGAGCAACTCTCAGAAGGACCGCATCCTGGTGACATTTTTGATAAGGAGAAAACCATTCTATTACTGTCCAGGGTAGAGAAGAAAGCAGCTTACCTAAAAATGAACAAGAATGTGAGTGGAATCAGATTTTCCATCCATACTGTCATCAGTTCTGGTGACCAGAAGGCAAAGAATTTGACCTTTAAAATTTTGAGGAAACCAAATAGACATTTTTCAAAAAAGCGAAGATTCCATCCATTTACCAGCTACAGATCCTTTCTTGAAAGGATTACTCAAAAGTGTACTGTAGTAGAATTTTTTTTTAATCTGAAAGAAAAACATAGAATTGAAAAAAAAGTAGTGGACAGAGAATTCCAATTGTAAAATCTATCACTGTGTGAAAATAATTGTTCACACATAATGTAAAAACAAATTTTAATAATAAACTGGAACCAAAATCGCACCATGGACAAGTGTGAGAAGGAATGATGGTGTTCTTGACACGTTTCGCAAGAGGCTTGATCAATGGCAAAAAGAAGTTTAAATGTGATTTAAAATATTAAACCTAGCAACTAAAATAGTAGAAATATGATGTAGTATAACCTCCAAACGACTAGAGAGAAAAAAAGGAGGGATTAAAACTCTATCAGTTTAACAAAGGGGGAGAAGAGAAGCATGGTAAACAGAAAACAGACTGAGGCGGCTGCGAGGGGCCCACATCCACACAGGCTGGTCGTCACCATTCATGTCAGTAAGGTAAATTCCCCTTGTATTAAACACGTAAAAACAAAACTCAGCATGTGCTATTTATAAGAACCCCACCTAGAAGAGAATGGCTCACAAAAGTTGAAGATAAAAAGATAAAATATATATGTACATATGTTTATTATCAGAAAGATGATAAAAAGAAAACAGGGCGATCCTGACACTAGACAAACAAAAGAGTATTTCAGGTTTTAAAAATTTCCTATTCATTGTAATCCTCCGCAAAAATATAACAGTTACAAACTTTTCAACAACGTAGCTTTGTAGTATATAAAACAAACTAATAAAATGCTAGGAGACATTGACAAAGCCATGATCATCGTATAACACACACATCAGAAACTGACAAATCAAAGAGGAAGATGCATAGACATACAAGTAGATATAGGTATATACACAAACACAAAATTTCAATAGTTCAATCATCAAGCTTTATCTAAGATACATGTGTGTTTGCAGAGAATTCCTTGTTTCCTGAGTGCAGAAAATGCACTGGTTTTTTTTTTGAGCAAGATTAGCCCTGAGCTAACATCTGCCACCAATCCTCCTCTTTTTGCTGAGGAAGACTGGCCCTGAGCTAACATCCATGCCCATCTTCCTCTACTTTGTATGTGGGACACCTACCACAGCATGGCTTGCCAAGCGGTGCCATGTCTGCACCTGGGATCTGAACCGGTGAACCCTGGGCCCCCGAAGTGGAACGGGTGCACTTAACCGCTGCACCACTGGGCTGGTGCCAAAAATGCACATTTTTTAAAAGACAAATAGGATGTACACACACAAAAAAAGAAAAACTGTAGGCTAATATGATTAAAGAAAAAAGAAGATACATAAGAAATATTAGAAAAAAGGCAATAAAACAGAGGTCTTCTCAATTATAAAATATTATGTACAGTTCTATACCAATAAATTGGAATATTTAGATGAAATGAATGGTTTCCTGGAAAAATATAAATTAGGAATAAAAAAGGTGAAATTATATCAGGACTTCAAAGAAAAGATAATTTCTATATCATTTAAACTTTTCTAGAACAAAGAAAAGGAAGGAAAGCATTCCTGTCATTCTGTAAGGCTAGCATCACCCTAATTTTAAAACCCAAAATGTGCACCCCACTTGGGGTTGTAAATTCAAATGACTCCTGGGCCATACAGGTTACCCATCACCATGTGAAGTAGCAGAAGCATTCTCTTTTAAGTTGGAAATGCAAACAGAGGGCCAGCCCCGGCAGCCTAGTGGTTAGGTTCAGTGCACTCTGCTTTGGCAGCCTGGGTTCAGATCCCGGGCATAGACCTACACCACTCATCTGTCACTGGCCATGCTGTGGTGGCGTCCCACATGCAAAAAGAGGAAGATTGGGACAGATGTTAGCTCAGGGCAAATCTTCCTCGGCCAAAAAAAAAAAAAGAAAAGCAAACAAGGTTACCCACTCTCAGCACTATTTCACAGTGTAATGGAAGTTCTAGCCAATACAGAAAGACAAGTAAAAACAGGTGTAAATCCTAGAAAGGCAGAGACAAAATTACCATTGTTATTCAATATAGTTATCAACCCAGAAAGTCTTAGAATCAACAGAAAATCTATTATTTAAACTATTAAGTTTAGAAAGGTGGTACAAATCATTATATGAAAATCATTAACGTTTTTATACAATAGAAATGACCAGTTTTAAAACATTATGAAGAAATTTATTTTATTTACAAGAACAACAAAAGAGAGAAATTACCAAGAAATATATAATACCTAAAAAGAAGATATAAATAAAATAATAAATATACAACGTCACTGAATGGGAGACAGTACTCTCCCTCAAATTGATCTTCAAATTCAATGTGATTTTAGGCTAAATTCCAGTAGGCCTCTCAAGGAACTTGAAAGCATTTTACTGCATGATCATAATGTATTTGGATATGTGCTAAAAAAAAATGCCTATTTTACTGCTGTGTGCCCTTGGGCATGTTGTTTAACCTCTCTGATCAATAAGTTGGTAACAGAAGCTACCTCTTAGGATCATTGTTAGCATTTACTAAAGTAAAACACACAGTCAATGCTAACAACCCCTGCCTAGACTATTCAATTAGATTCCTAACTTTATCTACCTGCTTGGGTTTCTCCTCTACTCCACCTTACTGCCACTAGAGTTTCTTAAATACAAATGGGGTCATTTTTTTTTTTAATGTCAAAAGTCTCATAGTTTCCCCTTGCTTCAGGAGGCACTGAAACACCTTTGTCTTCATTATATGAGTAAAATAATCATATACTCTGTGTGCAAATCAGGATGCTTTAGACAGTGAAAAGAAACATTAACGGGATCCAGGACAACCGCCATAGACCGGGACTGTCTGGGAGAGCCGGGATGGTCATGCGGTATTTGGTGTCTTTCCCGTATGCCCCCAGCCTCGTCTGCTGAGACGCCACGCTGCCCGCCGTTCCCACGGCGCAGGCGCATGCCTGCAGTGCCCCCGCCCTGCTCTTGGAAACCCCGTCTCTTCGCCTCGCCCCTGCGGGTTCGTCAGTCCCCTCCCGCGGTGTGCGCTTCCACGTCTCCGAACGTGCGCTCGCCGCCCTGTTAGAAGCGCACTTGAACTCTGTCTGTCCCTGGGCTGGGCTGCAGCGGCCCGCCTCGCTGGTCTGCCTCCCCAGATGGTGGCACAGTACCGGGATCAAGTTTGTGTTCAGTAAATGTTTGCTGAATTAATAAATAGATTCGATTTATTGGTTTACCTTGGATAATCCACATGTGAATAATTCAAAACATTCTTTTTTTTAGTCTAGTTCTTACCTTGTTCTATAAAAAATGTCACCTTAAATGAATACGATATATAATATCATGGAGTAAAAGTGAATTTTCTTTTCTTCCTTCCTCGTATGGTGTTTGTCCTTGCCCCACCCTTGAGTAGTCTTTCTTGAACTGATGTTCGGTGTCTCTTACCCACAATCCCCATCTCGCTGGCTGCCTCCCCTGGCCGTGAGATCCAGTTCTAACACAGGAGTAACACAGGAGCAGAAGTGGTAGAAGTCCTTCCCTGGGACTGTCAGGAAGCTTCTGCTCTCCTGAGGAAAAGGAGCAGAGCTGGTTGGCTCAGTTTCATCATTGCTCTTCCATCATCACTCTTCCTTCTTCAGCGGGATGTAAGAGTGGTAGCTGGAGACGCAGCAGCAGTCTGGCGACCATGAGGGTGAAAACCCACATCCTAGGGACGGTGGGGTTGAAAGCTAGAGGAGCGTGGGTCCCCAGCAGCATCTTCAGTCCTTGAACCAGCCTTTGACTCGGACCTCCAGCACTTGTGCACACCAAGCAATCAGTGCCTGTTTCTCGAGAAACTGTTAATTGGATTTTCTGCTTTTCTTGCAGCCAACCACATTCCTGACTGATACACACATCAGCCTAACTCCAAACATGTGACTTAAAAACGTTTTAAAGCAGTTTTATTAATTTTTTATGGAGAGTAGTATCATCAGATTTAAATGAAGTAAATGCACTCAGTATTGTTTTTCTATCTGATACAAGTACAAAGTTGCCTCTCCTGAATTCTTTATATCCTGTCATTTGAAGTAATAACTTTCCCCACATGTTGATCAGCAGTGTCGAGGAGTAACACTAATAGAAAATACGGGATTTTGTTTTAACAAAGCAAGTTTGCAGATGAGGTGTTATTTTATTAGCACATATCTAAATATAGTATGATCACTCCATTTTATTCTTTATTAAAAACTAATCCGATACTTTAAAGAAGAGATCTTAATCATTAAGACTAAAGCGCTCCGTTTCCTCCACTTACGTACAAAGTGAGGATGAGATGTTACTCCTCTGCTCTCCAGGCGGCAGGAAGTGTCCCTCTGATAGGAGTGGATGGATACCCTTGCTGCTTACCTATTTTTAAAAGTTCTGTGTCAAGTGGTGTATTTACTATAACTGCATATTTTTGTAAAAAACATAAAATAAATGTTTTCCAATTGAGATAATACTTATTTCTCTGCACATAGTGTTGAGAAATTTGTCAAGCCTTTTTCTGTGATGTTTGAGCCTAGAAGATCCTGTACTTTATATGCTGGCGTGTGCTTTAATTGCGTCTGATTAACTGCGTAGAGTTAAGAAGAATGTTTACTTATTGAGCATTTAGTCAGCTTTGATGTGTTTTTTCCTTAGTACCAAGGATGATTGCTTCAGTGTTAATATTCAGCCCCCCGTTGGAGAACTGCTTTTACCTGTGGCCATGTCGGAGAAAGACTTTAAGAAAGAGCAAGGTGAGAGGTTACTGCAGTGTACTAGAGATGGACATCCCAAATAATTTGTGCTCCTTCTTCTGACCAGTCTTTCAAGTGCATTCCTGTATGTGCAGAGCCATGAGCAGGTGCCAGTGCACAGTCTGCCAGCTTTTGCTAATGCTTTGCTTTTATAAAATAACCTTAAAGGTATGTGTTTGTCTGCATTCCTGGCATACTTGAAAATTGCTGAATATGTCTTTAAAATAATAAATTATCAATTAACTTTTCAATTCTAGGAGTTGTGGCTTGTCAACCAAATGATGTGCTCGTGTGTTTTGTATTAGAGGAAACGTCTGGAATTTGCGACTTACCAAAGTCCTACCCCTGTGAATGTTATGTTTCTGTATTTTCTTTCACTATTGAACCGTTTTTCATGTCCAAGATGTTTTTCCCTGCATACCTTAGAGTGCCTTACCCTTCAAAATAAAGTCCTAATCGTAGCAGCAAAATAGCTCCCTTTTCTTTTGACCTAATTCTATATTAAAGAAATGCTGTGTTGTCAGACTGTATCAGAGCTGAAACATTTTAGAATATGCACCTAAAAAGAAAATACTTTCAGCCGAATGAAAGTTTTAATATCTTGTACTTGCCCCAGAGTCAAGCATACTTTCTAATAAAAATAATTTTTTTTCTTACACGAATAAGGGGAGATAACTGTCTGATTTTATGTGTTTAATTGAGGATATTTATAAAACTAGGGCATATTTAAATGGTATAGTCAGCAATTTTTTAAAGTTTATGTGACTCTAGGCCATTTTTTTCTCTGGAGAGGGTTATCAAGCAAAGATCCGTTCATCTCGAGGTCATTAAGTCATATCTGTCCAGCTTCCAGAAAGTACTAGGCACACACAAATATCTACACCTAAGGAGCAGGGCATGCCTCCTGGCAGTCCGTCATTGTAGTGCCAAAGATTTTTTTCTTGTTACTGTAAGCCTTTGCAATCCACAATGTCAAAAAGACCTGTTGTGGACGAATCTCACAAGGAAAATCTCATTCAGACTGTGAGTTAATAGGAATCCTTTATTCTTCTGCCTTATTTGTAAGTGATAAAACGAATGACTAAATCCGTCTTTGCGTTTGCTTTCCTTGGACGTTGACGATTGCTGTAGAAGAAAATCATCTTTGTGAGTTTATTTTTCCATTGACGAATTGATTCTTACATTTACTATTCTTACCCTTGCTGGCTAAAGCCTGCCTCTCTGCTTTCCACCTGCTCAGCAAACCCAGGTGAGTGGCACACAGTGACGGAGTAGGGCTTTGTCACATTTGTCATTAAGGGGATTTTCCGTTTTTGAGAAGTGCAGCTAAGGTATATCTAAAGGAGCGGATTATCGTATACCCTTTCTCTCCCTCAGGTTCGCTTTAGAGTACTTGATATTTCGATCAAGTTTTTTGCGCCCTGCTGTAACTGAGGGCTTTTTCCCTGACTAGCCATACAGAACCGCGAGCGCGTGAGAGAGGTGCGCTTGCAGAACAGCTGTGGTCCTCTGTGGACTTGTTGCCAAAATTCCTTTTTCTTCTGCCATTTTACTTCTATGGTTGTTGATTATTTGTCTGAATAAATCTGGCATCTGTTTGCTATGTTTAATAGAGCAGAAAGGCTACTCTGAATAAAGCTATTTGAAAATTTGTTTATATGAAGTATTTGTAAATCCTTGCAAGTCTCTTGGCATTTCTGTATCATTCTTTCTGTCTTCCTGAATTCATTCTTTGATAGGGACCTTGATGCTGGCAAATTTACCTCAAGTTCAAAGAGTCTTTTCAATAGCATCTTTTTAGTTATAGATTTCAGCTGTTTGTAATAGAGGTCTCAATTCTCGACTTTCCACGTGTATCTGTCACACTGCTCTAGGAAGAGCTTAGCTTATTTCACAAAAGATACCTAGAGCTGACTCACTAACTGAAAATCCTAAATCAGAATGAAAATCAGCTTCCTCAGATTTTATCAGTGCAAACTCCTGGAAGGTAAAATGCCAGTAAATTTAAGATGTGTCTGTGTGTGTCGTGACATGCTAAGCTTTAACCTATTTTTCTACTTTAAATAAAATGAATTTACATACTTAAAATCTCATTTTACAGGGCATATATTTTAAGACTCAAGAAATGCATTAAATGTATTAATTAGGATTTTACTGAAAAAAATTATAAATGAAAACCAGGAGTATGGTTCTGTTTTTATACTAGAGATGTGCATAATTTAAGAATGTGTACCATAATAAATAAGAATGCTTCTAACAGATTGTAAGTAGGAGGTTGCTATTTTTTAAAACGACAGTTTTATTTCTAATATATAGCCTGATCTATTGCTTTTTCTCACTTGCATGTAGAGTTCCATGGCTAAAGATGCATGTGATAAGGTTGGTAGCAAAGTGCTAAACGAAAGACTGGCTATCCTGTACATGGATGTTATCTGTAGGATTCATGTTACGAACCTTAACCAGCAGCCTGATTTTTTTGTTGCTACGGGTTTGGAGCCTTGCAAAGTTAATGATCTAGCTGTGGGATGATTTCAGTACTATAAATAACGTGAGATCTCTCTTTTACTTAAAAAAATTTAATTTGGTTTCTTCAGGCAGTTTTAATTATAAGAGACCTAAGCCAATTGCTTATTCCAAACTGTCTCCTCTTAGTCATTTTCTTCTTATGAACTAAATTGGAAATCTAAAACTTGGAAAAAGTTTTTTTAATTTTATTTTCTTATGTTATTTGGTTTACATTTTAGCAGTTAATTACAGCTGATTAACCTAAGTTAAGTACTGTCCACTGCCTCACCAAAAGTTAGATAAATTCTAATGAAGCAGCAAATTCTATAGTCTGACAGTTTCTAAATATTTTCCCGGTAACCTTTCCTTCATTATGTATGAGCAAGCTAGACAGTGTTTAAAGTCTGTTTTTATAGGAGAAACTTTTAATGATCCCTTGGCTTATTTTTCTTTCTCGTTAATTTGAGAATACCTGATATATTTTCATTTGGAAAAATCTCTGGTTTAAGAAACCTAGGATGTTTACTTAATTTTATTATGATTTATGCATCCACCTTATGGGTTCCTGGCTAGCAAGACGCTAATTCTTTAAATGGTCAGACATTTACTATTTTCTGGCCCTTAACTACCACAAGCAATCATATTTGATGCCCCTTAATTAGAGCACCTTTTTTTCTTCCCAGGTTCTTTTCCACCTCAGCAATCGAGACAATACATTTGCTTACCAGGCTGCTCTCCTAAGTGTTCTTTTGCATGTAAATTAATCTTGATTCAGTTTACACTGTCATGCTGAGTGGTACAAATTGCCTATAACAATAAAACAGCATGAGTTAAAAATAAAGGGGGGTGGGCAGGCAGATTGAATGTGTGCCTTACTTGATAGGATGTTACTTTGCTTTATGCCAATACATTAGCTGACGATAATGAATCTTCTGTTCTGAAAAGCATGGTTTAGTTGATTTTTTTAATTTTACTTCAATGGAGCAGTACCTTGTCTTTTATAGACCAAGTTAGACAAACCATTAATGACAAGAGTGTTAAGGTTAAATATGAAGCAATGCATTCACTTCTCTGAGTGCTATCCATCTTTCCATTTACAGGAGCTTGACAAAAGTACTGGCTTCGTACAACATTTCCTTTAATTACATGCTGCGGGAAACAGGCTTTTAACATAAACATAGTTGCATTCATTTATTCAGCACTTGCTCTTCAATAGAGCTTAATGGAGAAGGTTTAAATCCTAAATGAGTACACACATCTCTCAGCAGTGTTATGTCAGCAGCCACCGTGCTTTACTTAAAAGCAGTGTTTGACTGCTTGTGTCGTTTTTAAAGCTTCTGCCTAATATTGAAGTTGAGCAGTCTAAGACAGAACGTAGCATCCCCGAGTTTGAGGGTGGTTAGTAAAAAGCGCTCTTTGTTAAAAGCTAGATAAGCCTTTTTACAGGGTTGGGCTTTAGTGTCTGCATGTTGCTAATCATAGGGGTTTTTTAAAATTTTGGTTGCATTTGCAGTAAATAACGAAATTAAATGTATACTTCTGAAGGTGCAGGGCCTTTTGAAAACATAAAATCAAATTTTATACCATTTTAATACATTTTGTAAACTATTGTGCACATATCAAATGTCTCAGAAAATTGTCGTTTTTAGTGCATACTGTTAGGTGTCAGTGACTTGTATCACAGATCCAGAGAGATGGCATAAATGATAATTATTTTGGGTTCTTTTTAACCCAGGTACTAAATTTCAATATTTGTTCCAAGTGTTTGGTATATTACTGAATTTGTTCTCTGAACATTTTTATGTGAGATTCTGATATTAATACATGTCATGTATTAACTCTATGATTTTTCTTCATGATTTTGCTTCACTTAATTTCTTAAATATTATTTGAAGTGTCTCTGGAATTTAAGCTTTTCCATTCACGTTTTTTTCCTTCATTTTCAAATCTTTTGCTTCAGAAATTTCAGTTTATGTTTTTTGTCAGTAGCTGTAGCTCCGTTCACGAGACAGCTGTTGTCACTCAGTGTAGTTTAGATGCCTGCACGTTTCTTAGGGCCGTGCAACTGTTGAGTGACTCTCAGTCATTGCTAGGATGACTTTGATCCGTCATACTGAGGCCATTCCTCAGGTAATGCTGCTGGTTGTTCCCGAATCACTTTGATTTTTTCTCAGGCAGCACTTGGCAAGAGAAATCTTTGAATGGAAAGGCGAGGAAAAACAAAATTCTTAAAAAGTAAAATCTTAATAGTTTATATAGCCCGGATTAATTGAAGATATTTTAAAGGGACCGAAACTGAAATTTTGTCTTTGTGATTTTACGTTTTTGTCCTATAGTGTTTAAAATCAGATTTATGGAGTGACGTTTGACTGCATTTTTACACATTTTCCTACACAATGAGGATTTTAAAACATTTTTGAAACGGTTGCAGTTCATTTTATGATAATTATCTTGTAAATTACATTCTTGAAGTGGTATTTCTTTTCTTGAAAAAAGTTTTTAAATTTTGGCTGTGAGCTTAAAATTGCTTTAATGTGATTTTCATAAAGAATTAGTAAAAAGGAGCCTTCTTTGGTTTGCTCTGACAGGAATGCTGACAGGAATGAATGAAACTTCTGCCACCATCATCACTGCACCACAGAACTTCCCCCCCTCCGTGATCCTTCAGAAGGTTATAAATGTGGCCAACGCAGGGGTGGTCCCTTCTGGCCAAGATAATATACACAGGTAGGTTTGCGAGCACACGAGGTGGTGATAGCTTGTACACATGTATAATATACGTATAGAAATATAGTTTGCGAATTATAGTTTTCCTTGAAAATAATAACCCCTAAGCGTATGTATGCCCCTCCCCTTTTTTCTGATGGTCCATTTGATTGGTTTGGGTTAAGGCCCTCTTCCCTATTTCATACAATCTTTAGCACGCTGGTATGGACTTTCCCGAAAGATACAGATAGTATACTCACATTTTATAATAGCTTGGTGATTTGTAAAGGTATCTTTTGTGACATACGGTTGAGAATTATCTTATTTCACTGGATTCAGTGGATTTCCGGGAAGAACCGTTTTATAAAGCAGTGGAGTTGGGCTTTTTTACTTGAAAGGGGGGAAGTGGGGCTACCTAAGGCAGCTTCCAGTAATAAGCAGCTGCTAGACAACCAACCTGAGGCCAGACGCAGCTTCTGTTTCTCAGACCAAGAGTATCTTCACCACCAAGCATCTGAAGCGTGAGATCCGAGTCATTTGTCCTTAAAGGTAGCAGCAAATGTGATTGATATGTTTGCCCTCTTTGTAGTCTTAGCAATGCCAGTGGCTTGAAACGAAAGTAAAGATAAAAATAATTACCCCTTCAACAAACATGCTGTTGTTACTTAGTCCTCTGTGAGCTTAAGGGAATTGACTGCAAACCATCTTTAATTTCTCTGCCATTCCACTGCCAGTGGCCTACTTCTGTCATTATATAGAGAGAGAAAATAAATTTAAAATCAAAGGGAATGCCTTCAGACCTTAGAAAAAAATTTTTGAATTGACAGAGGCGGAGAGAGGCCTCCTATAAAGAGTGCTGCGGGCGATCTGGGTTTTAGACTCAGCTCTGCCATCGTTAGGCTTGGTCATCTTGGGCAAGTTATGCATTCTTATGGGCTTTAAGTTCCTCATCTGTTTGGAAACGGGTGGCAGGAAAAGAAGGGCGACTGAAATGAAAACATGTGTTATCTATGGAAGAATGTTGGCCTTGACGTCAGAAGAGCTGCGTTGGAGTCTTGATCTGCCATTATCTGTAGTTGCCTGACTTCGTCTACTAGTCGTGACATAATGAAAACTGCACGTACCAGTCAAAAAACAAATTTATCTTGTGCTTTTTTTTTTTTTTTTTGAGGAAGGTCCTCAAGTAAGTCGCTCGAGAGGCCTGATGCTTCCGTTTCTTGACTGATGACAAGCCCTGTCCGTCTCACACAGGGTGGTCATAGAATAAGAAGGCGAATATAAAGTCGTCATACTGGTACCACCAGGCACATGCAACTTGTCTACAGTTAATGTTCACTAGGGGAAATGAACAGAAACCTTTGCAGTGAAAATATTTTGGTTCTGAGTTTTCTGTTTTAATTGTTTTCTGCTTTAAATACTTTTCACTTTGCTGGGTTATTTTCTCTAACAGAAGTTTTTGTGTTTTATTTATGGGTCCTTTGAATCATTGAAGTTACTGAACACCAAAATATCATACATCAACTGTCATTTTTGTCTTATGCAGTATGAAATTTTACCTGACAGGTCTAGTGGCCAGCAATACTTTATTGTTTTAATATGTTCTCTTGTAATGTACAAAAAGACAGACGTTAACCATTGTTTATGTTGGAACTTTAATTTAGTGTTTCTTTGGTTTTGTATGAGGGTTTTTAACTTTCCTGAAAGCAATGGGAGGTTTCCAGATTTTTGTTTCTTAGAAGCAAAAAGCCACCATTGGCTTCTCAAAGTCAAATAATATGACAGCTATCTTCGTATTGGGAAATAAACTAAGAAAGCCACTTAGTACAGTTGTGTAATTCTTATTAAAGCATAGTTTGCCTGTAGCTTGTCTCGGTGGTTTGGCCTGTTCAGATGATTACATTATAGTCAATTCTCAGTTATCCATGCTAATGCAGGGGAGACATACAACTGAGAACATTTATCTTTGGCGTTGGAATTCAGAGATGGCACTGAAACATACTGTTCATGGTCCCCATACACATCCGCAGTGTCCTGACGCTTGTCTAGTCCAGCCCCATCAGCGGGGGCGTGGTGTTTGGCTCTGTAACTGGGGGAGGGCCCAGTTACCACAGAGTCAAGAGAGAATAAAGTGCCTCTGAGTGATTAAGAAGAGCTGTGCCATCCTAACTTGCCTCTCAAGTCTCCTCGTACTTACTGAAATGCTTTTCGTCTGCTTTTATAAAGTATGGCTGTGATAATGTTCTCAATTTTGGAAAGCTTGCAGATAATAAATGGAATTATTTGTATTCTTCATACAGAAATTGATAGAAATTATCCTGCATGTGTAACGTTTTTTGCCATTCTTTTATTCTCAGTAACAATTAAAACAAAACAAACAATTGTTAATAAAATCTGTACCAATGCCTTTTTAAATTTCATTTGAAGTGAAATCGCAATTACTGGTTACATCATAATAACAGAAATTAATAGTGCATCGCTTTATTGAATTATATTAATGTTTTAACTGTAGCGCTCAGTATTCTATTACCCTGTGGGATTAGTGAGTTTATATATCGAAGCTTATATATTGTTTACTTGTTAATAAAGAAATTGAAGTCCCTATGAGATTTTTGAATGACTCCTTTATTCTTCTGTGATGGTTACTTTTTTTATATGAAGAGTAGGACCAAAGCCATTCTTTTATTTATTAACGGCATTTGGTTTAAGATCACTTTTAAAAACAACTATGACAAGCATTTTGACTGTTAGCTTGTTAAGATAGTAAAATTAAAATCTAAAATTTAAGATATTAAAATGAAAAATTGTCTGGTTTCGGAATATTCCTACGACTCTTCAAAATTTGAATAATTTTTACATTAAATACCAAGTAAAAAAATACTTGACACAAGAATTAGCTAACACAAAGTGAATCTTTATTAATATGCAGAAATATGTAATAGTAGACAGTAGAAATTTTAATTGAATACATAATAGAAAATGGTTCCTAAATGGCAACAGAAAATGGCCTCCATTAAGAAAAAGTCAATTAAAGGAGCACAAGTTTTATAGAATTCACTTCAAAAACCAGGAGCATTTCCTCTGTAGTTAACCACTGTTCATAAAAGATCAATGAAGAAAGCACATCTACTGTTAGATTCTATGACATGTAGTTTTGATTTTTGAAATGAGTGGTAGTAATCAGAAAGCCCACCAGTATTCTGTGGAAAGAGCTGACTTCGTCTTCCTTTCTGTGGGGCTTCCTTGCTGATTGAGAAGGCAGCTCTTTGAGGACAAAACCACCATTGAGATCCACAGAGTTGTGGTGATTGTACTAGTCTGCTGTTTTCCAAATTACAGTTACCACTTGGTAAAGGGTAATACAGAAATAGAATCAAAAAGATTATCAAAAAGCATCTATTAGGGGCCGGCCCCATGGCCGAGTGGTTAAGTTCACATGCTCCACTGCGGCAGCCCAGGGTTTCACCGGTTCGGATCCTGGGCGCAGATGTGGCACTGCTCTTCAGGCCACGTTGAGGCGGCATCCCATGCCACAACTAGAAGGACCTGCAGCTAAGATGTACAGCTATGTACCAGGGGAGATTTGGGGAGATAAAACAGGGGGAAAAAAAAGCATCTATGGAATACGCAGCTGAGTATCTTCATGTCCTGTGTTAGATATTCATGTTAAAATAGATATACTGTGCATTGTAAAAGTCTTAAAGCGTATTAAAGACAGTGCTAATAAACTACTACGTAAATAAAGTGTGTACCCAGGGCAGAATGAAGCACAGTCAACCAGTGTATGAATGGACTGCGCAGGGGAAAGGGCGGGATTTCGTGTGTTTTGTGGGGAGGAGGTTCGAGAGACTAACAGTGGGAATTCTAGATTCATCCAGGGCAGGAAAAATTTCTTGTACTCCTCTGAGAAAGGAATTGAGTAGGGTTTATGCGGGAGCTGCATGTTCAGCAACATGGAAACTGAAGTGCCCTGGCATCGCTTGTCCTCTGGTAAAGGTGGTGAGGGGCCAGTGCCCAAAGAACAGAAAGCTGAGTCTGCAGCTCCGACATCCCTAAGGTTTTTCTATACAGAAGAATCAGGTGGGAATTTGTGTAAAACTCAGATTCCTGGGACCCACATCCCAAAACTCAGATTCGGTACCTCTGGGACAGGGCCGAGGAACTGCGTTTGAGCCAGTACCCCGAATGGCTACGAGGCAGATGTTCCACGGTCCACAGTGTGAGGCTGCCCTGAAGCATCAAGAATTAGTGGTAGCCACGTCGCACGTCTTAGAACATATTTTCCCTGCGTTTATATATTTCCTTTTCACAGATTGGTTAGTCATCAGGGGATACCGATAGACAAGATGTTTGGTTTAGTTTGCTCTTCTGTCTATGCCAGTTGCTCCAGCAGGAGAGTATGTTGTCAATTATGGGAGTGTCTTACAGGACTGTCCATGAAGCAGTCTCAGACCATCAGTAAAAGTTCGTCTTTCTGCAGTCTCAACCATTTCAAATTTTAACCCAGTTTCGGGAATTCTGACATTTATATACAGTAGTGTTGTTAAAAAGAGTTGTCACGCTGCCTACTCATTTTGTCCTTTCATGAACAACAAATTGACCCTGTAGGGGAAAATGTGATATTTGAGTGAAAACAGAAAGCCTTGCCTCTGCCATGATTTTGTTTTGGTTCTTAGCTTATTCAGTAAGCCCGTAGAACAGCTCTGATTATTAACTTGTATTCAGTACTTATATTTCTTTTTCCCCCGGTATATCTTAAATTGTGGTTTGGATTTTGTTTACCCTGTCACTTTTTTAATTTTCAGGTTTTAAACATATACAGCTTGTGAATAATTACAATCTTAGTAGAATCAATGTTTCACAGTTGTCACTTAGGTCCTTAACTGTTAGGAAAGTCTGGTGCTGTGAATGGAACGGTGTATCCCTGGCAATCTGGCAGTCAACTTTTTAATTTATCAGCACATTTAAAGACAGTTTATTTGTTTTAGGTTTAAATAAAAATCTTTTTATTTAATTAAAATACATGTAAAGAACAACTTGTTTCATTTCTAGGCCTTAAACTCATCCAGTGAATCATTGTTATCATATACATGTATAATAGTTATTAATAGGGGAAACACTGGCCTATGCTAAAATATCTCTGTTGTGGGACTCCTTCATTCAGTATTTTCTGAAGGCCTTTGTGGCAGATTTTGTCAGTGCTGGAGTGACACACATGAATGGCACAGTCACTTCTTGTGGGATCTGTAATATTTCCCTTTCCTCTGTTCTTAGGTTGAGTTTTTGTTTTTGTTTGTTAGTTGCTTGCTTTCTTCTACCCTGGAAACTGGGATATTTAAATACCGAGTAATTTTGAAGGACTATAATGGAAAACAGTACCATTTGATGTCTGGGTACCCTAATATTATAATTCCTGATACTGTAATCACCCTACTTCATCTGTCATGAAACAAAGTTTGTATAAACAATTGTTAATATAAAGATAGCAGGCTTCAGTCTTTTCTACAATATGACAAATTTTGAATGTCAAACGGGACCAGAGGTGTGTGGCACCTGTTTAGTACGCAGGGTTCTTTCTCAGGCTGGTGGCTGTCCACTAGAGGACAGCACTGCTTTTTGATCGGGCTGCTGCTACGGGCTCTGTGAGCAGCATTTCACTGAAAAACAAACGTGGACGTCAGTTAATTTGTACACAGACAGCGTATTTGGATATTTCAGAAATAACCAAACTGCACAGCTGATTTTTGCTTTAAAACATTCTTAAGTTTTATTTAATTCCACCATTTGTGGGGTCATATGCTACGATGCAGCAGGTTTACTAATAGGAATATATAACTGATTTCATGTAAAAATGAGAGAAACGTATTCCTGATGATTTTCCTTCTGGGGTGACAATTTTGTAAGGAATCAAAGAGAATGGGGTGAGAATTTCTTTGTCTTACTATTTGGTTTTCTCTTCTTAAAGCCCCGGCCTGTCTCACCCCCACCAAACAGACACACCAGAAATGCTCGGGCACAACTGGAATGTCGCGTGTCTTCTTTGAGAAAGTGCGCTCAGATTTTTTAGATTTCCTGTATAAAGAAAGAGAATGTGTCGTTAACCCCGTAGTGTGGGGAATCACTTTGTATACCATCTCTAAAGATTAGAATAGAAAACAGAGAGTCCTAAATAATGATGGTAGCTTATTTTTTGTTTTAACTCTTCTCATCAGAATGTTGAAGGAAAATAGTGTAGTATTGCTGGCTGATTTAAAAAATAATAATAGGGAAAAATGCACTACTTTGGATAAATTCTCTAAACTTAATCACATGTAAATTTTTTCTCAATATTCATTTAATAGTGTAATGGGCTTAACCTAAAAATACAATTTTAGCATCAACAAAATAGGATTTTTTACAACTTGCAAATTCTCAGCTTGTTAAAAGTGTTCTACTATATTAACTCAATGTAATAAGGATTTATCATTTTAAATCCTTTGGAAAATAATGCTCCAAATCATCCAGCTTTGGTATTTGATGTTCAGAGGCTTATTCAAACCAGTATTTCTTACATAAAATCATTGTGCGACTTCATTACACATTTGTCAACTTTGGACTAATTATTTTTATACAGCCAGGGCAGGGCACTGCATCTTGTGAGCGTCTTTCTTACTAATAGGATTCTGTCTGCTTCAGCAGGCAGTAATTGAAGGCTTCATGTACAGAGTAGGAAAAAAAAAGTTTTAACCTGAGTGGGCCATTGTCACAGCCTCTGGTAACCAGTAGAACAGAAAACACGAGAAAATTGAACTCAGAATAGAAAAATCAGAAACCAGGAAGACTATCCAAGAGAAGAAAAAGCATGTCTTAGAGCTGTTGCATTAAGTGTAGCAAATATGATTCTGTGTAAAAAATTTTATCCTTGTGAATACCCTGGAGATGGATGCAGCCCTCAGATAAATACTTTTAATTCATATTGTCCTATTAACATTTCAGTTGTTAAAGCAATTGAGTTGTAGGATTTCTTTTCTAACAAAGAGCATTTATGGTCCATAGCCAATTTCTCAAAAATCTAAAAAAAGTATGGTTTAAGTGCATAAGGGAGTAAGTCTATGTATTATAGATAATATATTTGTTCAAATTTCTTGTCGTTATTTGACCTTTTTTCATAATTCTGTCAATAGTTAAGACAAATTAACCTTTTAAGAAGAGTGGTACATACTTTCACTCAGGTTTGGCAACTAGCTTATTTTGGCTTTTTCTTTCATCTTAAGACTCCTTATAGGCTTCAAAGGTAAATGTCAGTTGCTAGAGATAATAGACAAAAAGACATTTAATAAGGTGAAATACAGATATATCCAAACAGTTTTACCTTCTCAGTTGGTGATTACAAACAGCAAGTGCTTGGTGGTAGAATGAAAATGAAAAATTATGAAAAATACCTAGATGGTATCCTTTTAATACCATGGAGCCCGTCGTACATAGGCAATGCATCTTTAACTGTCATCGCTTATTTGTCCTCATTTGTGGTGTTGCTGGTGTTCGAGGTTGGTTGGTCTCCCAGTAGTCCCCTCCCTGTGTTACAGCTCCATTCAAGAAGGTTTTGCATTTTTCACTGCTGGTGTTTC